GAAATGTTACTACATATATCCGGACGAGACAGCATAATTGGAACGAACTTCACGGCAAGTTCGTTCAATTAATCAATTTTATCATTCATTCTATGGATAGCAACAAAGAAATAAACATGTTACATTCTAGTATTATAAGCGACTAAGGATTATTAACGATATTAGTTACTATTTTACAGAAACCGCAATGGGTGTGGATATACATGCTCAAGAAGTTGTAACCAAATATACATCAACAGTACATCAGTCAGTTTCTAAAATTCTTATAATGTTATTAATAAAATAGTAAATGATTTATTATTTAATAGAGTCAAGAGTTAACAATAAACTTTAATAATTAATTACATATTCAATTTTACGTAAGTAGAACTCCAATTGTATTTTCAGAGCCTCCATGTTAATAATGAATCGAATAATTCAACCATGGTATTGGATTGACTGGTTGTACTATTTATTACCTGCAGGAAAACAGTTTAAATCAACGCTTGATATATTACATGGATTTACAAAAGAGGTAGGTATATACTATAGGGACTTTAATAACACGTATTTGAAGAGACTTAAAACAATAATAAGTTTCACTAATTTTTTTACATTCATTGAAAGAAATTTTATGTTTACAACTAATATGATAAATTCTAGGTAATAAGTAAAAGAAAGATTGAGCGACAGTTGCAAAATGCGAAACTCGAAAATGAATTTAACATAGGTGCGATTGTAAATTTTAATTATATACCATACATTATACATATTTTCCTACTTTGTAAATATTTTTTATTTAATAAAACTTATTGTATCAGGTAAACGAAAGAGGAAAGCGTTTTTAGATTTATTATTAGACCAAAATGAAAAAGACAATACTCCTTTGACTGATGATGAATTGAGAGCGCAAGTTGACACGTTCATGTTTGAGGTGAGAGTTCAAAGTTAAAATTAAAATTTTCTAATTTTTAATATTAAATTTTCTCTTATCAGCTTCTCGGAAACATATCTATGTAAGTAGAAAGTACATGTAAAATAATATGAAATTATAATAGGGACATGATACAACTGCTGTTGCCATAACTTGGGCACTGTTCCTCTTGGGTAATAATCTTGAGCATCAGGAAAAAGTTCACGAAGAACTTGAAGAAATTTTCGGAGATTCAGAGGTACCAGCCAATGTAAAAGAACTGTCGCAATTAAAGTATCTTGAAAGAGTTATAAAGGAAACACTTCGAATATTTCCAAGCGTACCTTTAATCATGAGGGAACTTGTAGAAGATGTAAAACTGGGTAACTCTGTCTACTAATTAAAAAAAAAAATTTTAAGGAATTTACAATATACAGGGTGTCCCACAATTCACCTGACGACGCTCGTGGACAGGTAGAGCGGACTAAACTGAGTTGAAAAGTCCTCTACCATTTTGCAATTTCGCAATAGTTAACAAGATATTAATTACAAAAAATTGCCTAATATTGATATTCAATAATTTTTTTCTCAAATACTATCAACTTTACAGAAAAACTGTAAGAGATAAAAATTGTTTATTTTCTTCTCATAAAGTTCTGAGAATTTTTTGAGAATTTTTTAATACCGTATTTTCTCATGTAAAAATAAGAAAATGCAGTACTAAAAAGTTGATAAAAAATTTTGAGAAAATTCTCAGAATTTTATGATAAGAAAATAAACAATTTTTGTCTCTTACAGTTTTTTTGTAAAGTTGATAGTATTTGAAAAAAAAAATTATTGAGTACCAATATTGGGCAATTTTTTGTAATTAATATCTTGTTAACTATTGCGAAAATTGTAAAATGGTAGAAGAACTTTTCGACTCAGTTTAGTCCGCTCTACCTGCCCACGAGCGTTGTCGGATGAATTATGGGACACTGTATAATTTATAAAGAAGTTAAATGTTATAACGCGAAAGAATTAAAGAATTTAATAAATAATATTCATACATATAATTTATCAAAAATTAAACAAAGTGCAGTATATTTAAAGATTGATGACATAATCATTATAATAATCTCACATAGAAATTTAAGTTTCAGATCATAAAAAAACGTTTATGTGGACAAAGACAATGTTTTATATAGATAAAAAAAAATGCGCAATTCATATATTAATTTATTTCTTCTATTTTAGATAATTATACACTTCTGAAAGGTACCTCAGTCGTATTGGACATCATATTAACACATCGAAACCCGGCAGTTTGGTCGAACCCATTGAAATTCGATCCGGATCGCTTCCTTCCAAAGAACTCGAAGAATAGAAATCCGTATGCTTATATTCCGTTCAGCGCCGGACCGAGAAACTGTATAGGCCAAAGATTCGCTCTACTCGAAGAGAAAATCGTGTTGACTGCAATTCTTAGAAAGTGGAGGGTGAACAGTGTGAAAACAATCGACACGATTGAATACGGCGGTTCTCTCATTTTGCGCCCAATTGAAGAAATATTCATACATTTTACGCCGAAGAAATAAACAGTTTCGCCAAATAAGGGAGATCGGGATACCATAAGTTACAGAGTACTATTGAGATACAGAAATCATTGTTCTTAGAGTGTCCAAAATATTTTGATTGATAATTAAAGATTGATAAAACTGATCATACGACTATTGTTTTGTTGTTTATGTGAGATCACAAGTGAATGGGGATATGAAAAAGATCGAAAACGAAAATATCTTGCGCTCGACACGCACGACTGTTTTCTTTTGCGTTTGTCATTCGTCTGTCGCATTGATTGTCGATTGATAGCGATTGCCCAATTCGGGAATTGTCTCTAAACGCGCCATTTAAACTCTCGTTTCCACACTTGGCCATTCTGATATGGGCGTCGTTCTCGATAGTTGTCATCGTTTTCTATCGGTAGGTCACGTCGTAGTTCCAACCTCGACGTTGCGGACAGAGTTTTAAATGATCCACTGAGGTGTCCATACGTTTGTGTCTATCATGTTTGCCTATTGTCTCGACAACATGCCGATCATGCCTTAGCTCCTTGACAATTCGATAAAATCCCAAAAATTTTTGATGCATCTTGAGATACATCCTAAGAGACGAAATTAGCCCTTGACATGTTTCAACAAGAAAGAATCGAACTCCGCGGAGTGATGCGAAGAAGAATATATTGAAAATACAGAACGAAAATCGAGAAACTTATTATGGAGGATGCAAGTCGGCCGCAAAGTATAAAGTCGGAGACGTCGTCGCAATTCAACGTACCCAAACGGAACCAGGATACCTATCATGGAACATGTCGAAATGATATATTAGATCGATTAAAGAACCCATATATGTTTCGCCCAACACATCTTCTTCCTCGTCTAATAGTTGTTCGGCAAAGTTCTCGGAAGACTTCGTCGGTTGATTTAAGATCGGTAGCTCTTCGACGTCTTTACTTTGAGACTCCATCGTTATTATATATATATTAAAAATAATAATACACGTTCAAATTGTAAAAAATATGTATGAAAAAAGCCTCGCCCGTACGCATTTATATATTGTTGATCATCGGAAATGTTAAAACCACGATCGAAAGAAACCAATCGTCTCTTATCACATCCTGCAGGAAATGAAATAAAAAAAAATTAAAAAATCGTGATCATCGTAGAATATTAATAAAACGCGATAACGATCGAAATGTTATATATAAAAATCGTAAGGAAAGTGGCGTAGGTGTGAAAGAGGACGCGTTGATGGGGTTGGAAAGGGGAAAAAAATTTTCTAAAAATTCACGTTCCATCGCTCTTATCGCACGGATGTGATCTTTACCACATCTCAAGGAGACAAAATATAAAAAGGAAAATAGATAACTGCGTAAAAATACAAAATCTTGCGCAAAGTGCGACGCCGTCATAAATGTGAGAGAGAACGCGCTGATAGCTTGGAAAGATAATGTTTTTCTTATATTCCGAATACTTCTTATCACATCCTTAAGGATGTAGTGTCTTTAACAAAAACTGCACAAAAAGTAATAAAACGCAATCATAATATATAATATTAATAAGGTGCAGGTTGGATGCCGAATGAGTTTCTTCGATATGACGCGCATTGGACTAATCACGAATATTATTAAAGTATATATTAACATACATGTTTTATTTTTTATTTAAATACATGTTTATTAAAATACATATTATTATTAATACATTTTATTAAATTTATTAAAATTTTGAATTTTAATTTAGGCGGTTTTACAAAAAAGAGAACACCCGATCTTCATCGCGCGGGAACGACAAGAACGGTACGCGCGAAAGAGAGAGCAAGAGCGAGTGATCGCGCGGGGAAGTCGCGGGGCATTCCTCCTCAGGGCTCAGTCGCACGTCTACCCTCGATTACATTGGATTATCGCTGCCCGCTCGCACCGTTCAACGCCACGGAACGGTCGACAGGATCGGGGATACGAGGGGGACCGCGCACACACACCAACGTCCCGCGGGTTGGGGCTTGGGGGGAAAACTGAGCAGAGGTGAGGTTACGGTGGTGGGAGGCCAATTCAGGTCGCTGATTGGCTGCCCCCCCCCCGCATCCCGCGGGTCTTACCATGGCTTCATGTATATATAAGTTTGCTACTTTTCACTTCAGCAAATCTAATGTATGAATCTGTTTGATAAACTATTTAAAGTGTTCGCAGATTACGACAATGGATTTAATTTTTTTGACGTTGTGTACTCTTTGCATCGTTGTGATTTTCGCATTTCTGCCAACAGTGTATCATCATTATGTTATTCGACAGAAACTCAAAAACCTACCTGCACCTGTTATTGGTTCGATATTTAAGTTAATGAGGTTATCAGGTTATGGTAAGGAACTTTATACTTTATATAAGACTTTATATAAGAGTCATTATTCTTTTATACAGTGCCATTTACATATGTATATTCGCACACAGCTTAAAGCTCGGTTATCTCGAGGCGTCATATTTGTTGTTGTCAGAGATGAGAAATGATTTGTAATAAATTAATTGTTACATACAGCTTTATTTTTCAGTTATATGTAGAAGTCTAAAGTATAATTCCTAAAATAATGATACATTTCTCAAGTGTTAAAAAATGCTGCAGCGTTTTGTTATTAAAAGAAAACTAAAAAATAATGTTGTACGTAGCAATTAATTTATTATGTGTCATTTTTCGTTTCTAACATAATTCAACCAATATATCGTCTTGAGATAGCCAGCTCTAAAATTAAAACTTTACTATTTAAATATATATAGTAATTAAATTAATAATAATAAATTATTAGTATAATAATTAATAAATCTAATTGTTAGAGCGCATTAAATTGTTTCTAACGTTAATGGAGAATTGTAAAGAAGGAATATTCATACAATATATCGGAGTCACACCTTATGTTAACATATTTAAGCCAGAATACTTGGAGGTAAATAAAATCTATTTACTAACAGAAAATAACATCCGTTATATGTTCTACAATTAATACATTATTTAAGTACGAAGAAACAGCATCTTTTTGTACTATAATAATATAAAACATTCTCAAGCATTTATATAACGACTGCTTTTATTTTATTTATAAATTTATTATTAAATGGTTTTTAAAAGTAAAAATTAAAAGAAGAACCAAAAAATTACAGCGAAATCTTTTTATTGTCTCTATTATCTATAATATGTAGTAATCAAATTTTATTATTATATACTATTTGATACATTATAAATACTTATTTTGTTGATAAAGAAAGAACAGAAAAGCCGCTGAAAGTTTTCTTGTGTGTAAATCTGTTTAAAAAAAATTAACTCTTATTTTTATAAAAGATTTATCTTTAATAAATCGAATTTTATAGCGTCACTGTTAATATTATTACTGAACAATAGAAATTTTTTTATTATAATAGCGAAATAACTTACAGATTAACAAATTTAAGCTTTTAATAAATAGAATTAATATAATCATAATAAATTCTTTCGATATTTATAACTGACGAAATTTGTTATAACACTCAAAAGTACACTCATCCATAAACAAACGGGCCATTAAATTTTAGCACAAATTTTTAATATGTTTGAGTAGCGATATCTAAAAAAATCATTATAGCGAGATGCACCAAAGCTTAAGTTAATTAAAGCTTGAACATTCCCATTGATAACCATGTAGATCAAATTTGAATTACACAAAGTGTATTAAAAAATAGCGGACATTGAAGACGGATATTGAAAGATAGAAAAAAAATGTCTTATTCAAACTATATTGCGTTGCTCAGGGAAACTGGCTGCCAAGCACATACACTCCGAGCCAAAAGTTTGAATACATTTAACAAAAACGTGATAAATTATTATAGAAAAATATTTTATTAGAAGAAGTTCCAGGCATATATGCATTTTCTAAATACCTAATGGGATAATGAACGCGGTAAGTATAAAAGAAAATACTATAGAAGCGAAAAATTCCGTTTAAGCACATTTTAATGTTACTTAGAGCAGTGTATCCAAATTTTTGGCCTGGAGTGTAAGTGTATGAGTCTTTAAAATCATTGATTTGCAAACAAATCTATATTTGGAACATTTTTCCTACGATTTTTAAACAAAGTTATAGTGTTTTAAAGAAAGTATTACAAAATGGACAACTTTTACTTGTAACTTACAATTAGTGGAAGACCGGGGTTATTCGGGACACTTTTTTTCTTTTACGACCCTGAGTCCTATATTCATAGAAAAAAATTCATTCGGTTTAAAAGGTTGAACCTTATCCTTCACAATGCCGTTAGAGATTAAACACTTTGTACTTATTTTGAATTACGTACAAAAATGTTACACGATACGCACCCCCCCCCACACACCACACACACACACACACACACGCGCGCGCGCGCACGCATGCGCGCATGCGCGCGCACACACACGGCCTCAGATGTGCACGTCGTTGTTCCTTTATAACGCCGAGAGCTGGATATACGCATACGTATGTATGTACACGCGCGCACTTATGCGAAATTAAAAAGAAGTAAGATTTGAAATTCATATACTTTAATTTCCTTTTAGAAAGAATTTCCTACAACTTTTTTCTGAGTTGTACTGAGTTTACAAGAAAAAGTTGTCCGTTTTGTAACATTATCTTTAAAATGTAACACTTTCTATAACTTTGTTAAAAAAATCGTAGAAAAATGTTCCATAGAAAAAATCGTAGAAAAAAATTCAATGGATTTGTTTAGAAATTAACGATCTTAAAGATTCATACACTTTTGTGCCTGGCAGCCAATTCCCCTAAGCAACGTAATATTTTGAATAAGAAATTTTTTTTCCTATCCTTTAATGACCGTCTTCAATATTCGCCATTTTATAATACACTTTGTGTAATTCAAATTTGATTTGCATGATTGTCAAGGGGAATGTTCAAGCTTTAATTTGAGCTTTGGTTCATCTCGCTATGATGTTTTTTCATTGAAATATCACTACTAAAATATATTAAAAATTTATGCTAAAATTTAGTAGTTCGTTTTTTTGCGGGTGAGTGTATATTATAAATAAAAAATTTTTTATATATATTATTTCTTTGAATATATTATTGGATTATATTTTTTTCAAATATTTACAGCATATTTTTCCCAGCACTGTAAATATCACAAAAGGAGATTTTTATGATATGCTGAAACCTTGGTTGGGCAACGGACTTTTGACATCTACAGGTAAACGCACAATAAACCACATATTTATTTTTCTCATTGATTACATATTTATTTTCTCTTGCATTTAGAATTTTATTAAAAATAAATAACAGCTTATTTCAGGGCTGAGCATGTATTTGGAATACTTTCATTTGAAAAACAATATTTGTAAAACGATTGTATTTTGTATTTTGTATTTCAACGGAGCGCATGAAAATATTTTGTATTTCGTATTATACGGAACATATAAAAGTATTTTATATTTTGTATTTCAAATACTATATAATTGTAAGATTGACAATCAATCTTATTATTTGAATTAGAATATACAAAAAATTTTCAATCTTTCAATTTTAAATACAAAATACACTTGTATTGCAAATAATATGTTTTAAATAAAAATATTTCAAATATATATCCAGCCTTGGGTCATTTTTATCATGTACGTCGCTATTTTAAATATAATTTTCCTTGAAAATATTTAGATAAAAAAGGACGAAACAAGTTCTCTCTTTTCGTCTAATGCAAACATATATGCATTTGTGCTTCAATACAAGAAAGAATATATTTTAATCGTTACGGTAAATACACATTCTTTCTAAAAAGACTTTTAGAATGATCAAAGCTCACTCTAAAGAGCGAAATCTCACTCTTAAAGATTGAAAATTGAATCACTCTTTTTCAAGATAGGTTCAATTTTCACTTCAAAGAATTTAGAGAGTTCATGAATGTATAGTTCATCTGATTATTTATGTTGCTCACGTGCTAGAAAATTGTACAGTGTTTCGCGAAACTTTTTGTCTTGTTTACATCGCTAATATTCAGTACCAACATGTAAGGAAAACAGAATGTCAAAAATAGAAGCGATATCAAAAGCATCTATTTTTTTTAATTGACAAGGAAATACTCCCAAGTGTAAATCTCAAAATAAAAGCAAATATGAAACCTATATAAATCTATTACTTGAGCAACAGATATACAATGAATGGTAACCAATAAGTGCGAAATTCATCATTTATATAAGCTTTATCGATAAGCTTTATTATATTTTCGATATAAGCAAAAACGTACATATATCAAATATATTTGAATTTTTACGTACGATTGACCATTCTATTTTGTCAATTCTTAATTTTTAGCAAAATATAGTTTTTTGGTCGTCGAAATTATTTCGAAATTTATAAATTACACAATAGAAATAATGGAATTTATACGTGGAAGTATTTCCTTGTGAATTAAAAAATATTCCTGTCTCCTATGTAGAAGTCTCTCTTTACTTTACCTTTTGCGATATTTTTATAACTGTATTTTTACATGTATATCATATTTTAATGCTGCTTTAGGTAAACAATGGTTCCACGATAGAAAACTCATCGGGCCGACGTTCCATTTTAGTATATTAGATCAATTTGCTGTGGTTGTGTCTGAAAAAGCAGAGATTCTGACAAAGTGTCTCCAAAAAGAGATAGAAAAGAATTCAGGAAAACCCGTTAATATTTTCCCTTTTATTATCAATGCTGCTCTTGATATTATCTGCGGTAATGTATCGCATATTTTTAATTACAATGTATATAATTATAATATTTTGCGAGAAAAAACGTTTTATTTATTGATATAGTACATTTTATGTTGCATCAAACTTTATCAATTATTTTACGGATAATAAAAAAAAATATATAAATGGTAATTTAAATTATGTCATTATAAGCGACAAAAGGGTTTATCAATAATACTAATTATTATCTTACAGAAACAGCAATGGGTGTGGATATACATGCTCAAGAAGTCGTAACCAAATATACATCAACAGTACATCTGTCAGTTTTCAAAATTTTTATACTGCTATTATACTATTCAACACCATATTTTTATACTGCTATTATACTTTTCCAACACGAGTGTGAATAATTATTTTCCATGTATTTTTGCTTGCTGAACATGAAAAAATTTGTTAACCAAAATTACGTCACAATTTCAAAAAGAATGACATTAAAATGACAAATTTAAGGATTTTCATAAAATTATAGACAACAAATGTTTTAATTATTAAAAAAATTTTTAACTAAATTTTTGATAATACTATACAAAAAGATCAAATTAAAAAATTTGTTTTGCATTTTGTTTTGTTTCGATTTGTTTTTTGTTTTCATGATATAGTAATTTGGCAATATAGCTTTTTTCTCATGTATTACATGGAAAAGAATACCTGAAAAATTATATTAAAACAATATGCATTTTAAATTTAGAAATTTAAATGGTACTTTCGTGTATCATTAATGAAATTAAAAAAAATTCCTATTCGAGCTACAATTCGAGTCACAAAAATCTCAATTGTCATTTTTTGCTTCTTTAATGTTATTTGCCTCAAAATTGTGATATGATAGTCGGCTTCGTTCACAAAACAAAAATACATAAAAAAATGATTATTCATATTCGTGTTGCAAAAAATGTTTTGTCGGACAGTGTTATTAATGAAACAGCTAATGAGTTATTACTTAGATGTTAAGAATTAATGGTAAATTTTAATAATTAATTACATATGTATAATAGTTTACATAAGTTGAATGACAATCGTACTTTTAGAACTTCCTCGTTAATAATGAATCGACTGCTTCGACCATGGCATTGGATTGAATGGTTGTTCTATTCACTGCCTGCAGGGAAACAATTTAAATCAGCGCTTGATATATTGCATGGATTTACAAAAGAGGTATACTATAGAAATGCTAAAAATGTCTTTGTATTTACCGACTTAAAACAATGTTAAAGTTTTACTAAATTTTTTACATTATTTCGTTTGAGGAATGTTCACGTTTAATCTAACACGATAAATTCTATATAGGTGATAAGTAAGAGAAAGATTGAACGACAATCGCAAAACGGCCACACGGAACTTGAAAATGAAGACGATAAATTTAATATAGGTGCGATTGTAAATTTGAATTACATATTATACTTTATACAGATTATACCTACATAATTTATTTAGGGTAAAACCACTAAAATAATTCACAGTTATGGATCACTTTTTAAAAAAAAATTTATATTTTTTTATCCAGAACAATATGAAACAATTAATAAGATATTTAATAGTCATGATTGATCATAAAGATTATGTTATGGATGATTTTATTCCATTTCATTACCGTTTTATATGTTTTAATTTGAATTAAATAAAGTAATGGCAATTATCCACAATTAGACTCCATGTACTAATTGCAGATCAATTCACCAAGTGCTTTATCCTTTTTAGTAGCATTACTACATCCCATAAGGAATTAATAATAAAAATGATTTGCGCATGCATATCATAATAATCATAATATAACGAAATTATAATTGATGATCCATATCTAGTTCTAAGGTCTAATTGGCTCATAATACAATTTTAACATATTCAAGCTTATTTAAAATTAGTGATACTTAAAAATCAATCATAATTTGAAAAACTGATGAAAATTAAACGTTTAACAATAAAAACAGTTAAATTATGAATAGTAACACTTTTTATATATATAGACGTGTATACTATTTTATATTCTATTTTATACTTAAAATAAATACATTTTTTCGAGATGGCATCATTTGTAAGATTTGACAAGTTTTTAAATATTTTTATAATTAATTTCCATAATAAAAGTATAACATAGTGATTAAACAATACCTGCGGACACATTTAATCTCAACTGAGCATAACGTTGATTTTTTTTCCATGAAATCCAATGCTACGTATTTACCATACTACCTATCATAAAAGCCATAAGACAATTCTTATGATATTAAATGAACACTTTAAATGAATTTTTAAAGATACATACGTTAGTTATAATAACTTCGTACATTTAATTAGTTAAAGACATAAATCAATAAAATGTGTAGCGCTGTTCCTAATAAATTAAATTCAACTGACACTTGAAAGAGATAAAACAAATGTTAAAGAATCTTGTGATATGTATCATTTAATGAAAAATATTATAATTATTTAAATACATATAAAAAGTGATCTGGAGTTAGTACTTGATCCACTAATCGTTTTACCCTACTTCGTAAATATTCCTTATTTAATAAAATTTATTATATTAGGTAAGCGTAAGAGACAGGCGTTCTTAGATCTATTATTAGATCAGAATGCGAAAGCTGATACCCCTTTGACCGATGATGAGTTAAGAGCGCAAGTCGACACATTCATGTTTGAGGTGAGATGTCCGAAAATAAAATTAAAATTTTCCAATTTTTTTAACATAATTACAATTTAGTACAGTTCATACAGTTAATTTAATATTTTCTCTTTGTTTAATTAAATTAGCAAGATAATGTATCTGTAAAAAGGACATGTAAAATAATATAAAAATGTTAATAGGGACATGATACAACTGCTGTTGCGATAACTTGGACGCTCTTTCTTTTGGGCAATAATCTAGAGCATCAGGCGAAAGTTCACGAAGAACTCGAGGAGGTTTTCGGAGATTCAGAAACACCAGCCAGTGTAAAGGAGCTGTCGCAATTAAAGTATCTCGACGGAGTCATAAAGGAGACACTCCGAATATTTCCGAGTGTACCTATGATCTCAAGGAAACTAACGGAAGATATAAAAATAGGTAAGACATATCTTTATCTGCTATTTAAGGAAGAATCTCAAAAAATGCACCAATATGTAAATTTATTTATAATAAAGTAATTAAATTAGAGGTGTGCGAATCAAGCATTTGCAAGGTCGAATCGAATCGAATCGAATCTGTAACAACATGTTCGAAAACAAATCGAATCGAATCTGAAATTTTTACACCGAATCCAATCGAATCGAATCTTTTTGATTCGAAAACGAATCGAATTCGAATCAAATTTTCATATACTGATAGCTAAAAAAACTTAAAAGCTGACAAAATTTATTTTGAATGTACAATATATAAAAAAATTGATATCCCGGCTATTGAAAACCGGC